TGGTAGGGGAAAAGTGATAAAATATAAATATAAATTATGTACTTCCGTTAATAGTATTATACTGATTTTCTCATTTGTTAATTATTCTATGGTTACATAAGATGTTAATGTAAGAGTAAGGTGAGCAGAGTACATATTGCAATTTTCTGTATTACTTTTTGTAATTCTTTTGTAAGTTTCAAACTATCTCAAAATAAAATGTATTTTTTTAAATGTAGTGGCCCTAATTGGACCAACTCTTTCATTAAAGGTTATTCAAGGGGCTGGCATGTGGCATGGTATTTGAAGATGCTAGACTCCCACCATGGTTCAAGTCCCGAACCTGGTGGTTTGCTTTCTCACTTTTTTTCTCTCTCTCTCACTCTGTCCCTCTCTGGTCAAATTAAAATAAGTAAATAAATAAAGTTAAATAAAAGAATTCTTTAAAAATTGTTATTCAAAAATTATTCTTCTAAGATAGGAAGAATATTTTTTAGAGTTGGCATCTTCATTTCTTTCAGTTCTTTTTGTTATTATATATTGGATAGATATGAAGTTTATAACAAATGTCTAAGTTGTAAAGATTAACAACAAACATAAGCACAAGTGTAGCTTGAAGTTCTCAGTATTTCCCATCCTATTCCTTTCCTTCTCTCTAACTTCTACCATGAATTTTGTATTTTTCATAACTTTATTTTTCTTTATAGGTTTACCTTGAAAGCATATATACCTGATGATATAGTTATTGCATGATATTTAACTTTATCTAAATAAAATAATATTGTATGTTTCTTCTGTAATTCATTTTCTCTCTAAATATTGTACTTCTAAGACTTATCAATGTGTATGTGTATAGTTACAGTTTATTCATTTTCACTGTTTATAACTTATGAGTATACCATAACTTACTTCTTTTTTTTGTTTGTTTTTTGAGAGGTTTTTCGCTATAGAGCATGTGTGCTCACTAGACAGACAGAGACAGAGAGACAGAAAGCAAAAAATCACCCCCCGGGGGGGATGACCACACCGCAATCTCTTCTCCATTCTCCTCTCGGGCTCTTGGGCATGCACGCACACGCGCTGGGCGTGAGTTTTAAGCCACCAGGTCCAGGACCGCAGTTGACTACATGGGAATCCAGCGATATAGCCATTACGCTAACTGCTGGTCCCCCATAACTTACTTCTTTATTCTACTGTTAATAGCCATTTATCTGGTTTCCAGTTTTGATGGTATGAGCAGTACTACTACACATATTGTTGTACATTATGTAAGATTTCCCTAGGATTATGCCTAAAAGTGACTTGCTGGGTTATTTGGGTAGACTGGACTAAGGTTAAATGCTTCATCAACTTTTTAAATAAGGCCAAATTGTTTTCCAAAGTGGTTGTCCACCGCTGTTGTTTGGTTTTTGTTTTGTTTTGATTTTGCTATTGGACTCATGCACTCACCAGAAAGAGAGAGAAGAGAGAAAGTGAGAAATTATCCCCCAGGGGGAATGGCCACACTGCAGTCCCTTCTCCTTCATTCTCTTTTCAAGATTCTGGGCAGACATGCACAGGCGCCTGACGTGTTTTTCAAACTGCCGAGTCTGGACTTCAAACTATGAAGTCTGTTTTGTGTGATACAGCTGCCTTAACCATCACACCACCAGCCGATCCTCAGTGATTTGGTTTTTAATGCCACCAATAATACATAAGCATTCAAGTGGTTTCACTTCCTAACATAATATTGTTATGCTTTAAGTTTTTTTTAAGCCAATGTATCAGTAGTAGGTATATATATTAAAATGTAAAAAATTAGAACATAACTATATGTTGATTGACTACTTTCTGCCAAGTACTGTGACCAGCAATTTCACACCATTTAAGTCTACTTTTCTGTCATGAATAGCTGAATATCATACAGGGTAAAAATAAAGGTTTATTTAGCTCTTTTTTTTTTTTTTTTTGGAGAGGTTTTTGCTATAGGGTGTGTGCACTTGCCAGAAAGACAAAGAGAGACAGGGAGACAGAAAGTGAGAAATCACCCCCCAGAGGGAATGGCCATGCCGCAATCACTTCACCTCCATTCTCCTCTCGGGATCTTGGGCACGCACACACACGCGCCGGCATGAGTTTTAAGGCACCGTGTCCGGGACTCGAACTGCAGTCGACTACATGGGAGTCCAGCGACATAGTCATTACGCTAACTGCTGGTCCCTTTAGCTCATGGTTTTGAAAACCCAAAATCAAAGAGCCACAATTGGTGAGGATCTTGTCAGGGTGGATTTTCTTGTTGGTTGGTACAGAGTCCTGAGGTGGCACAGGGCATCACATAGACAGCAAGAACAGAGCGTGTGTCTATGTTGGTCTCATTCCCTCTTCCTATAAAGCCACTATGATTCAATCATGTCGGTTCCACCCTATGACCTTAATCCTAATCACCTCCTAAAAGCTCCATAGTTGGATTAAATTTTTACCCTATCACGACCAAATTTTAATACATGAATTTTTAGGGGATACATTCAAGCCATAGCACAAACATTACTTCTCTCTCAACTCTTCTATCTCGGCCTGATAATGGAGATTAATGCTATACTTCATTTTTAATACTTAACACCCTGTACATTTCTCTTTTTCACAAATTTATTCTTCAGTAGATCTCTTTCATCCGCCATCTATTTATTTATTTACTCCATTTTTACAAAGTCATTCTTATTTTGGAAGAAATTTGAGGCTGCTGTGGTTAATAACTTGTTCCAAATCACATTGTCCTTAAGTAATAGCAAACTTTAAAATAAAGCCCAATTCTCTGGCTACAAATACAAGTATTGCTCCAACCCTTCTCTTTTTCCTCTCACATCTCATTTCTTCCCGCCTTCCCTCACATTCGTCCACTCCTCTGAGTCAACTGCTTAAATATACTTCCCAGGTGGCTGCCATGTAATATGATATAGGTGCAGAGACCATGGCAACATAGAGTAAACACCTAGCTCCAACTGAGATAGTAATTAATCAGACCACTAGCTGGCTATTAAATGCCTCACAACCATTTCACTTTTTATTTTTAATTATTTATTTTTAAGAGTTTTTTGCCTTAGGGCACAAGCGCTGGCCTGAGAGATGGAGACAGTGAGAGGGGAAGTGAAAAGTCGCCCCCCAGGGAGGATGGCCATGCTGCAATCCCTTCTCAATTTTCCTCCCTGGATCTGGGGCACGCACACACATGCACCTGGTATGATTTTGAAGTCACTGAGTCTAGGACTTAAATCCTGGACAGTCATGTGGGAGTCCAGTGATGCAACTGCTACATCATCTGCTGGCCCCACCATTTCACATTTTGAGCTTGCTACTTAGAGGGATTTAGCCAGACTACCTTCTCAAAACACTTATGGCTTTGCAGGAGTTGGAGAGCATCTAGAGTGTCAGGCCATCCCATCCTTGGTTCTCCTTCCTTAGGAGCAGTAAAAACTCCAAGCATACTGTGGAGCTGTAGGCAGCTGGGAGCAGGACTGAATATTCAGATGATGGTAATGTTGCAACTATTAACATCAGCTGGGTGAACACAGATATACTAACAGAACAGACCTGAAAATGGGGTATAAAATTTGTAGCCCACAAGCACAAGCTAATATTGGTCTGTGTGGTATTTAACTTTCTTCTTTTAAAAAAAGATCTGGATACTTTACTTGGTATTATCTTTGACTGAACTAATATACAATGTATGCACGCTGGGGAAATCCATTTTGTGTGCTGTAAAGATGTACAGTGATTGAATATAAAAGTATAAGAAAATAAAAGTAAAATTTCAAAAAAAATCTGGGTATGTTTATTAGAAGAATATACTTACTAATGTGTCATAACTCAGAGCTTCATTTCCACGGTTCTACCTTTAATTGCTATTAAGGCCCTCACTCTTAAAAATATTTGATGAAACTCTGCTTAGATTACTGAGATGTAAACTATATTCCTACAAATTCATTTGATGCTCACTAAGGGTGGAACTAGAAGATGTATTCTTATTCCAAAGGGATTACAGTGATCCAAGTTTTTTTCTCTTTTCTTTCCTGGCAGTTGATTATTGTGTGGTTGGAAACACTTTTTCATTTCGACTTCATACCTCTTTCAAGATTTATGGATATTTGTTCCTATCTAATCTTATTTCAGATAATCAAGGTGAAGATACCTAAAATGTTTTCTTGTCTTGGCTCATTCATACTTAATGACTTAAGGACCAGAATAAAATTGATTAAAATAAATATACTTTATTGGTCCTTTCTGAGTTGGGCTAAGGATGGAGAGAAATAAGAGGAGGAAATCATTATTTGTTTACATAGCAAACTCATGGAGTTTGATAATATATAACTTGCAAAAGTTTAAAAAGCATGACTCGTTCATATAAGCAGTAATCAAAGATTTTATTTAATTCATTAATTAACAAAGAAATAACTAAGATGTTAAGATCTGTTCAAATGAAAATTTAGGAGCTAAGATTTTTAGACAGTTGAATAAGGAATGTTGAGATAAAATTTCTGAATTATATATAAAACTAATTAATGTCCCAAAATGCAGTAAGTCATATCCTTTGGAATTATTTTTTCCCCACTAAGCATAAAATACTTGTATCTCCACTGGATAAAAATGTACAAGTTAACCTCTGCCCTACAGAGTTATAAAATAATTAAGTCAACAGAAAACTAATCAAAGCTGTAAATCTAGAAATGCTATAAAAGATTATCCAGTAGTTTCTTTTCCCTGTTTCTAAGTTTCAGATGATTTTTCTGACAGATTGTAGTTATCAACTTAGACTTTGTTGCCAGGAAGTGACATCTGTTTCCCAAGCTTTGAAAATATAACTTTAAGATAAGGATAAATGAAGTGCATTCTAAAATCTGGCGCACACACACACACACACACATGTATTTTAGGGATAGATTATTTTAGATTTCAAGGATCAAGTTCCAGGTTTGTTAAGCACATATTTGAATGAAACATTACCAGCATGAGAAATTCTTATTCTGAATCTTTTACTACCCTTACAGAAATTCCATGGAATTATAGTTGGTGCTACTCTGCAATGCAACTTGAAAGCCAAAGTGAGGAGAGACAGGACAAAGGTAAGTGAACCCAGAAAAAAATATCTAAGTTTGGATGCTACACTGATGAGAAATCATTGGTCCTACATTCCTTTTATATATATATAATGATCAGTTATTTAATTAGGTTCCTGGCAAAAAAAATCTAGAGCACCGATTTGTGAGGATAGACTCCATTTGTAAGGGCAAACACGGATCGCAGGTAGTCCTGGAGCTGAGGAACAGCTTTGATTTTTGGTAAAATTTGCGAATCCACAGCTTTCTGATCAATCTTGCGCTGCTCTGAAATCTTGTATTTCTCCTTCTCTGTGTCGAAGATCTCACCTTCCTGGTGTCTGGGCTTCTGCAGTTTCTTTTTCTTGAAGTAAGCATCGGTAAGGTGCTTTGGGATTTTTACTTTGCTAATATCAATTTTCGTGGAGGTGGCAATGACAAATTTCCAAATGAGGGCAGAATGACAAAGCTCACATCCCAACATCCATCTGCCTGGGGTAATATGAATGATGTTCCTGTCAGCTCCTGCCTTAGAGAGGAAAAGGGAGAGACCAAAGGTCTCTAAGACAAGTAGAATATAGAATCTTTGGTTTTGAGTATGTCCTAATTATGCCAGCCAAACCAATCTCCTATGTTACTTTGTTAATAAATTAGTTTTGTTTGTTTATTGTTTATTTTTGCTTTTATGACTATTTTGATTATTTTAAAGATCGTTTCCTTGAAGCAATTCTAGTCTTATTTCTGCTGAACTTGGACAGAAGAATTAGTGAAGCTCTAGGGCATATGAGGCAGAGATACAAGAAAGACTTGGTAGTAAAAGAGCTTTAGCAAGCTTCCTCTCTAGGCTCTTTTTTTGGGGGAGGGGGGGTGGTGGGGAGAGCACACACACACACACACACACACACACACACACACATACCCAATGTGGTTTTTTTTCCAAGCTTTCAGGTCCAGAACTGAAACTGCACAGTTGGCCATGTAGGATCCAGCCACCTTAATCACCATGCTGCCTGCTGGCCCCATCTAGGTTCTTTTTTTTTTTTTTTTTTTTTAAATTTCAAGTCCTTTTATACATTTAATCATGTTATTTAGCAAAGTGAATATTCCAACATGTGTACATTTCTCTCCAGTCCAGTTGATAATACTATAAAGTTATCTTCAATAGATAATACCTCATTTTTTTCATCCCATTAATGCTTTGCCTCTCTGTTTTTCTTCTAAATGTCCCTTCTCAGATTCCACTCCTTTACCCACCCTCTTCCCACACTATATCTGGTATTTACAACCATTTACTGTGTTTCTATATCCTTTAGTCATTCAGTTTCAGTCATTGAGTGCGGACACTTGGTATATATTAAGTGGGGACATACGTTGTCTCTCCTTCATAGCCTGGCTTGCTTCACTCAGCAGTAAATCTTCCATATTCATCCACTTTCTGTCAAAAGCCTGGGTCTAGTTTTTTATGTTTGAGTAGTATTCCAATCCATTCATCTGTTCATGGGCATTTGGGTTGGTTCCATGTTTTAGCAGTTGTAAATAATGCTGTAAGCATTACAATTTGCAAGCACTTTTCCAATGAAGTATTCTCCTGTCCTTTGGGTAGATACCCAGGAGTGGAACTGCTGGATCATATGGTAGACCTTCTATTTGAAGGTCTTTGAGGAACTTCCAAATTCTTCTTCACAGTGGCTATACCAATTTACCTTTCCACCAGCAGTGTAAGAGAATTCCCCTTTCACCACAGCCCCCACCAGCACTTATCGTTTTTTATTTTTTCAATCTTAGTCATTCTGACTGGGGTTAGGTGGTAACTCATTGTTGTTTTGACCTAACACCGGGCCTCTCAATGGAAACAATGCAAGCAAGGAAAGAATGGAAAGATTTATTGAAAGTGTCAAGAGAAAAACAATTTCAACCAAGATTACTATATCCTGCAAGATTAATTATCCTTCATATGGGAAAAAAAGGATTAAAATCTCCTCAGACAAACAAAACCTGAAAGAATTTGCCAACACCAGACCAGCTCTTTTAAAAAACCTTGAAGAGAGTACTGTTTCAAGAAAACTAAAGAGTGAACAGCCAGAAATAAAGGAATAAAAGGCAACCAAGACAATGATCAACTTAAATGTTGGGACAAGTCCCGTAATATTGATAATAACATTGAATGTTAATGGATTAAATTCTCCAATCAAGAGACATAGACTGGCTGAATGGATTAAAAAACAGAAAATCTCTATCTGTTGCTTACAGAAAACCCACCTCATGGATAAAGACATACATAGACTAAAAGTTAAGGGTTGGAAAAAGGGTTTCCATTCAAATGGGAACCAAAAAAGAGCTAGAGTCAACGATACTAATTTCTGACAAAATAGCCTTTAAAACAAAAACTGTCCAGAGAGACAAAGAAGGGCTCTTTTTGACATTGCACTTTCCACAGTCTTCAGCCATGCTGAATATTCTCCTGATGCTGACTTAAGTATAGAAAGGTCAACAAAGAGTTATCCTTAGCTGAGGTTTCTCTTTTACTCCAGTTGTTCTATGATTATGTAGATCTTCTCACAGAGAAGAGATAATTATCTACCACTAGAGGAGTTTAGACAGAAATTTTACCACAATTTAGCAAGCATGTTTCTGTGTATCTTTTCACTTGTTGAACTTGTTTATTCAACAAGTCATTATTAAATCCATGGCCTAATGCTAAGCTAAGCAGTGGGATACAGAGATTTAAAGAAAAGAAAAACTTATGGCCTCTACTTTTATTTTCAATTGGTATAAAATCATATGTGTTTATTGTGTACAATATGATGTTTTGAAATATGCATACATTATAGAATGGATAAATCATGCTAATCAACATATGCATTACCTCACACAGTTGTCATTTTTGTAGTGAGAATACTTAAAAATCTATTCTCAGAATTATTCAAGAATACTGTATACTGTTACTAATTACCATGTTGTACAGATGATCCTCTGAATTTATTCTTCCTGTCTAACTGAAATTTTGTAACCTTTGGTTGATGGCTCCCCAAATCCTTCAGCCACCAATGCCCAAGTCCCTGGTAACCACTATTCTATTCAACCATTAAAAAAAAGAAAAAAAAAGAAGGAACTGCTGTCATTTGTGAAAACATGGACTATGCTAGTCTGTTCTGTTTCTACCAACCGAAAATTTTGAAACTGGTGATTCATAGGAATAGAGGCTTATTTCTACATATAAATTTGGAGGGGACACATTCAAAGCATAGCATGGATCAACCTGAGGAACATTATGGTAAATAAAATAAGCCAAGCACAGAAAGACAAATACCACATGCTCTCACTCACATGTGGAATCTTAAAAGGTTGATCTCATGGTTGTACCTTTAAGGAGCTCTTTGTCTAGTAGGGGAAAGTTGTTATTATTATAAGCATGATTAATGAGTTGAATGTAAACCATGGGATGTAGCAGTGGATAGACTGAACCAGAAACATGTAAGGAAATGGAGTGAGAAAGCAAATGTTACTGACCTATCTGCAGGGCCACAGAGCCAAGCCATTTCTGCAATGACTCACTGATACATCATTTAGCTATTTTTCTTATCATTCTTTCTTTTTCTTAAGAGAGAGATTTTTTGCTATAGGACACATGCACTCACCAGAAAGACAGAGAAAGCTAGAGAGACAGAAAGCAAGAAATCGCCCCTCCAGGGCAGGATGGCCACACCGCAGTCCCTTCTCCTCCACTCTCGGGATTTTGGGCATGCACACACAAGCACCTGGAGTGAGTTTGTTTGTTTATTACTTATACATTCAATCACTATACATCATTTAGATTGAAAAGAGATTTTACCCAACATGACACACCAGTTGAGAATACTATACAGTATATAAACAGGAAGCAAACCATATCTGTGTCCCACAAATGGCTTACTTCTCCATTTTCTCCCAAATTTCCCTTCCTGCACTCTTCCCCTCTCTACTCTCATCCCACTTTGTCACCAGTCTCCATAACAATTTTCAATGCTTTTATGTCCTCCAGTCTTTCAGTCTCTACCATAGAGTGCAAATAATCAGTATATGTTAAGTGGAGACATATAATGTCTCAGTTTCATAGCCTGACTTGCTTCACTCAGCAATAAATCTTCCATATTCTTCCACTTTCTATCAAATGCTGGAGTCTTGTTTTTTTCTATGGCCGAATAGTATTTCATGGAGTATATGTGCCACACTTTTTCAATCCATTCATCTGTAGACATTTGGGTTGTTTCCATGTCTTGTAAATTGTGAATAATGCTGCAATAAATATAGTTGTTCAAGCACTTTTACAACTGAGCCTTTTCCTGACCTTTGGGTAGATACCCAGGAGTGGAATTGCTGGAACAAGTGGTAGTTTTATTTGAAGGTCTTTGAAGAACCTCCATATTGTTCTCCACAGTGGCTGGACCAATTTGCATTCCCACCAAAAATATAAGACTGTTCCCCTTTCACCGCATCCCATCCAGTACTTATCAATTTTTGATTTTTTAATCTTTGCCATTCTGACTGGGGTTAGGTGGTATCTCATTGTGGTTTTGATCTGCATCTCCCTTACGATGAGGGATGTTGAGCATTTTTCCATAGGCTTTTTGGTTGTTCGTATGTCTTCCTTTGAGAGTTATCTGTTTATCTCATTTGCCCATCCTTTTCCCATCTTTTAATTGGGTTAATAATTTTCTTCCAGGTAAGCCACTGGAGTTCCCTGTGTATTTTGGTTATCAGTCTCTTATCTGAGGCACAGTTAACAAAAATTTTCTCCTATTCTGAGGGTTGTTAGTTCACACTAATTACAGAGTCCTTTGCTGTGCAGAAACTTAATCTGATGTAACCCCACCTGTCTATTTTGGGGATTATTGCCTGTGCTTTGAAGTCTTTGCCTACCCCAATGTCGCCCAGAGATTCTCCAGTGCTTTCCACCAGTAGTTTAAAACTTTGCAGTCTTAACTTTGCAGTCTTAGATTTAGATCTTTGATCCACTTTGAGTTGATTTTTGTTAATGGTGACAGATA